GGTAGAATTCTCCCGCATGAGCAGGCATAAGCTCCCCCCCCTCTTTCTTTCTTTCTTTAAAGCTTTATACCCGAATCAGCACTTTANTATGGCGTTTCATCACGGCAGTATTTAATTTTAGACAGTAGCTGCCGGGTCCCTCATGAGCTCAGACCCCTACTTAATTTGAAAGCTTTATACCCAAAATGAGAACTTTTGAAACAGGAAGTGAAATAGAGGGATATGAGGCATGGCTAGAATGGGTGATCTGTTTGGTATTTTGAGCAAAACACTTCATAGACATCTTTTTAATATATTTTTATATATCTGAGACCTATGCTATTGCCTACAAATAGCATGATATGTGACCTTTAAGTGATTAGTGGAAGTAGGTTATAAAGACAATAATTTAAATCATTATAGAAGAAAATAAATTGAAAGTTATTACTGTGATAGTTAACAAAGGCCCAATGTAAAGTGGAATTAAATATTACAAACTAAAGTCATTAATTGGTCATTATTGTTCTTACCATAATGTTCAATGGAAATACATTTCAATTGGCTACACAGTACACGCTGATTCAACGTAGGCTTTAAGTGTAATGGTTGACAGATGTTCGCTTAAGCAGGATGCCACATCAATCGATGGACTAGTGGACTAGTGGAAACGAGTCATGAAGCAAAAGTGTGGTTCTTGTTTTGACTCATTACTGTAAGTACTTTTTTTATTCTTTTAAAACAGAAAGTTGTCCCCCCTCACTGTTCCTCCAGTTGAGGCTACACAAAAAGCCTCTCATGTTAAATGATGGTCAGTAATTGCAGAATGAAAGTGAGGTTTGATATTTTATGAAAGAAAAAATGAAAGGAGCCACATAACATTTTATTTTTCATCTGCGTAGGAGGGTGGTCTGTGTTTGGATCTTCCAATTAGCCAGTTTTATACATCAATATTTCAGTATGTTCTGTAAGTAAGAAGAGTAAAGGCATTAATGGATTTTATTTTTGGAAAGACTAATTGCTGCGCTAACAGCTTTTCTGTTGTGAAGCCTGTACTTTTATAGGTGAGTGTGTTTAGAGTTTTTGCTATTAAAAAATATGAAAAAAAACATTATTTAGGTCTATAATAAGTTAATGACCATTTTAACATTCTTCAACTACCCGCCCCTGCTGCCGCATTATATTGATTTTTGTTTTTTGCAATAATTCTAGGCTTCCTTTTACATGCAGTGATATAATCCTTTATATTCCTATTCAACCTTAAATTGTGTTTGACTCTAACTTTCAAAAGTAATTTTTATGGTACCGAAAGCACATGGAACCTGCCCAGCTTCCTCTTGAGATTTTAAAACAAGTATTGTAGAGGTTTGACTCAAAAGGCTACACATTTTTCTTTTCACTCTTAATGTAAACCACCTTACTGTACGTGTAGGTTACAAGAGCAAAGTGATATTAAATATTAACAGCTTGGGTATTCCTCAATTAACTAAAAAGTTGGAGGACTTGCGGTGGGTTCTGTAAGTTCTACCCATTTAAGTCCCAATATACACAACTTGTACTTGTTATATATGAATTAAAAAAAGGCAATGTTTTAATAAATGAGGTGTGGAGCTCTGCATCTGGTCCTTTTGCTCTGCAAGGCTAACTCATCTATGATTTAACAAATTAGATTAAATACAAACTCCTAATATATGAGAGTGGTATGAATATTTCATTCTGCGTTCACATGATATGCAGACCGCCAGTTCAGTTTCGTTTCTATGGTTACCTCCCCTGCTAGCTTGGGACACTACATACAGCTGTTATCTTATTGGTGGCACGTCAGCAGTAAATTAGAAATGATAATAATAATAATAATAATTAAACCTCGACCCCAGCACTCCGTGATGATTTCAAGTAGTGTGCGACATTGTGGGTAGCTCTCTCCATAGAAACACAACCAAATATTATGAGAATGCAGCTTAACTCTGAGTATTTCCCAAAATATGTAGTAAAGTAACCTGTATTCAAAAGATGGCCATAAACATGATGTTAACAGTTTAAGAATGCAATATAGGTGTGTTTGTCTTTAAGACATGAGAGAGAAAAAGACCCAAACCAAAGAGCAAGCAAACGTTTTATTATTGGCAAAGAGTGACTACACCAAATACAAACCTGGAGATATTCCTCAAAGAGTAAACCCTTGCCAAAGTATATCATGCAGCTCTTGATTTAGTGCAGAAAGTTCTGCTTAGTGCCAGCGAGCTACTCTTGATCAAAGTCATTAGTCACTTGATTTGGACTCTATGCTGCTGAATAATTGAGGCTGTGAGAGGATAAAGGATTTGACGATGCTGGCTCACTAGTGAGGAGAAATAAAGAGAAGTCCCCTCTTTGAGAGAGAGGCAGGAGGAGGAGAGGAAGGAAGATAGGGGCGAGAGAGGGTAAATTAGAGGAAGATTGAGAAGGAGCGAGGGTGAGTACCTTCCACCACAGTACTGATGAAACATTTAACACTAACATATCTGTTAGAGTACCACCCACATTTCAGGAGAGAAAGTCCACTAAGGCTGGACAGCTTTGGTCGCCATTTTCAGGGTTTTTCAAAGCCATTCATTCAGAGCTCTTGGCCATCAGCCGCTGGGTACTTCACTTCCCTTCTGGAGAGTGCAGTTCACCCCGTGAGCACATATAACAAAAGATAATAGTGCTTAGATTTATGTTCTCTTAAGATGATGTAATACACAATAAAAATGTCTCGTCTTTTGTACTTGTTTTCATCGCATGTCTCCGGGTTCTGATTTATACCGGCGATTTGTCCACTTAAAGACCTGTGATGTATTTTTTTGAAGACAGATTATGAGCATCTACTCATCAGTGTCATTAAAAGGACGGAGAAGAAGAAAGGATATCTTGTCATCACTTCCTTCCAGATTCAAAACATGTAGATTTCAGGATAAGGCAAATATTTGAGGCCTTCAAATGAACTGATTTGTACGATGACGTCACAAGGCAATAGTGTTTATAGCTAAACTGCCAGACTCGAAGATGGGGTAAAAAAACTTCAGGCATAGAGACATCATAATAGTTTCAATATGGGTATAAGGACACATACAGTATTTTCAGGCTAACACTCTGTTAAGGGATTCATCGTGTTTTAGTCGTTTGTTGACATGAAGAATCACTAAATGGTAATTGAATGAAAAAGAGAAATCAACAGCAACTCTGCACAGCTTAACCACTCACTGCTAAATGTTTCTATAAATGTGTGATTGATGGTTCCAGAGAGTTACAGAACTGTCAAACAGTTACTTTACAAAAATGTAATTTATATATATACACTGATTTGACATGCTGCAAACATTTTCAATCAAAGTGCCAGACATGAAATCTTTACTGCGTCAAGAACAGAACATTTGACTTGTTTAGATATGAAGTTGTAAACTATTGACGTTTCTAATCAGATGTCGCAAAATATATAGAGTATTAGGCATGCTTCCATCAACCTCTGTCGTGCAGATAAACTGGGCTACAGCAGGTGGGCTTAACTTTACGAATGGTTGTAATCCCGGGGGGAAAAAAGTTAGAAGTAGAGGTTGCGAACCCGAAAAATGAATTCCCATTGGTGGAATTGAGTAAGGTTTATCAAAACATTCTGTTTCCGTGCAACTTTTCTATCGCTATTCTTAAAATGTTGGTCTAAAGATTATGCACTTTGTTGGGTTACAACTTTGGTCCTTTTTTGTTGAAAAGTTGTGAAATAACTAGTTTTTCTAATTCAGCAACAAGTCGTGTTTAAAATATATAGTATAGAGAAGATTTGACGAAGCCAGCATAGTTCCCGAAAATTGGATATGATTTTATTAAGATTTGTGAAATACACATCATTCGTGCTGCTACAGTTTTAATGAAACCAAACTTAAAAGTTTAAAACTAAAGAACATTTTTTTTCCACCAGCAACCAACATCAGTGACAGGATTTCTACTGCAGCTGCACCAAGACTAAAGATTACTTTCCTCCGAAGCACCAGATGAGCTGAAACCTCTGAGACTCCTTAAACTCTATTTTTGTGCTTCGGTGTATATGAGGTTATAGTTTTTTAATCACTATATAAATACAGTCTATCTGCCTTGCTTGCAGGAAGGTATCTCCTGATTTGAAAATATCTTACACCAGCTGGGAAAACATCAATGTTCTGTAGAGAGTTTACTAATGACCGTTTGCTTTACGGGAACTGCGGATCAGGATCCTTCAGGCCGCCGCCTTTCGCTGACAGTTATGGCTGTCTTCAGATTTACCACGTCTGCTCCCCTCAAAGGAGGGCTCAAGGTGCCTCGGTGTAGGTTAAATTGATGTAAAACCCTTTCATTTCCAGTAGGCATGGAGATTGGGGCCAATACTTGGTTTGGGGCGTATGGACTGAAGTTTGTCTTTTCTCATTTGTTTGTGTTATTTTGTCTCTCCTTGCCTAAAGGATCATTTTGGGCATTTTCTCCTTTTTTTTGTAAATGATGGGTCAGCGTACCCCATTCCAAAGGAGAACAGAAAGGAAGCACTGTAGCACCAAACACTAATGTTAGCTGGTAGCTTAGCATTAGCTATGCTTTTGTACCTGGCATTCCGGTTACTAAAAACGTCCCTGTCCCTGTTTATAAATATTATCACCTCTGGCTCGAAAAACCATAACAGGGACGGACAGAATGCCAAATTCAGAAAGCAATGAGGAAGTCCACTTCCGTAATGCAGTCTATGGTCTTGTCTACAATCTACTTTTAAATGTTTCTTAAGTAGGAGTGACTCACTTGATTAATGAGTCTGTCTCACTTTCAGCTGAGAACATTTTTAATCCAAGTTATCTTTAAGAGATTTGTTAAGTGTGATTCTTTAAAGTGTGATAAATACGGGTTCTGTCCTCACTTTTCTCTTTGTCTTATCTCACCTGACTCTCCACCTCCCATCAACACTCTCAAGTGGATTACTTCATTTGTAGATGGACCTTTTGGACTCGTACAGTTTTAAATCACACATGATCCTCTCTGTCCAGGCTGTGAAAGTGACTTCTGGGGGCCCCACTGCAGTAACCGCTGTCAGTGCCGCAACGGGGCCAAATGTAACCCGATCACCGGAACCTGCGTCTGCACCGACGGCTTCCAGGGATGGCGCTGCGAGGAGACGTGCGACCACAACCTCTACGGCAAGGACTGCCTGCAGGAGTGCCAGTGCCTCAACGGCGCCACCTGCCACCATCAAACGGGAGAGTGCCTCTGCGCACCCGGATACACCGGGGCCTTGTGAGTAGTCGTGTTTCCCTCCGAATTCTCCATGTGTTATTCATGAGCTTTTTCATTATTTCAGATGCATTGATTTGCAGAATTAAATTAATGAAGTATTGAAGAACTTTGAAATTAAGCGAAATGTCATAAATATGTGACTGCTTGATGTATTAGTTCATTTGTGTGATGCATTATTAAGGTAGACCTAATCGAAATGTTCTGCTAATGGTAACTTATGATTGAGGTCATGAAATACATAACATCAATTCTAAATTAGTAGGTTTTATTACATTAACTGTATTTTTCTTTTAAAATATGTATTCATGTGATATGCTAAAGAGTAATATCATCTTCCTTCAGCAGAACGTTTCAATTTTTCTAATTATAAAATTGTAAAAAAACACTTAATAACTATGGTCTATTTGCATGTAACCAAAACTACCAGTGTTCAATAGTGTCCAATTAACTCCAAGTTTAAAAATGTCTAACTCAGAAACCCTATTCCAGAGTGAAATCTTCCTCATAACTTAAATTCACTATTAGTTTGACTGTTAATAATGTTTCCCTTCTCTAAAAGTACCTCTTCTTCATATGAATCTGTGTAGTTTTAAGATGCAGGCTTTAAAAAATAGAAATAGGAAATCTGTGTGAACCTTAACACACAAAAAAAATGTGTCAGCTGAAAATGTTTCACCAACTTTAGGCAGTGCATTCTTAGCCTTGAAGAAACAAAAACCTCTTTAAATAGACGTGTTAGTACTCTCAATACTTATTAGGTTATTGAGAGAAAAACTCAAGTGAATGGCCTTGCAGTTCCAGAGTTTTTTAATGCAGAGTAATGCTACAATAACTGCTTGGTTATGGCTAATAAATAACTAATTTCACAGTTTTTCTTACTAAAATCAATGTGAATCTGACCTCAAGCCCACACCTCTGACACGGTAATTGGGCAAAAACACTTTCTGTTCTTTCGGATCAAGACTTGAAATTATTAAAAGTAGAAACAGGAAACCATTTGAAGTTGCGATCACTGCTTTTGCAGTTTTAGAACACAATAAAAAAAGATGCTATTGAGAAAAACTATAAAGGTCAAATTAAGAAATAATAGTGTTTAGAAAACACAATAATGTGATGTCAATTGTGAGTTCTCTTAATAATTTGCTAATTACAGTGACACTCGAGTACAGTAAATGGAGTAATATACTTTACAATAACATCTGGTCTATGGTTAATCTCTGGTTATTTTACCTTGTCAGTTCAGATTTATTAATCTCTCTCCTGTCTTTGACATTATAGGTGTAATATGAAGCATTTTCATTAAAAAAATAATCCCTCTCAATCATAATCTCTGACCCACTTGACGTGTCTGGTGGCTTTTTTTTATCCAGAGACCCTAAAGCCCTCTCCTTCATATTTTTGACATTTTTGTTTAAAATGGTTCTGCGAGCCAAATAGCAGTGTGGAGTCCATTGTCGCTCAAATGCCATCACTGTGTCACGCACCTTGGCTCCTGATACCAGGACTCTTCACCCTTTAGCGTCTATCCAAAGTCACGAAGAACCAGTTGTTACATCACTGTTGGATTTATGCGCTTCAGTGTTTCCCCTGTCTTTCTCTCACCTCTGATCTGTGCAGAGTGACTGATGTGCGCTGCTACCGGTGTGTCAGTTTGCGGCTGAGCTATTCCCACACTCCCATATCACACAGGCCACAGCAGGATAAAGCAGGTGTTTCGGCTGCATTCCTGGCATCCAACAGTCTTACCTACCACACTCTTCTAGTTGGTCTTGAGGGATGATTGGGAGGGATTCTTATGTCCATACATTATTTGATTGGAAAACTCTACATGTTATATATTTTTACATTTGAACTTCTTCTGTGTATCCCTCCAGCTGTGAGGAGCCTTGCCCTCCAGGTAAACACGGCTCCCTGTGTGAGCAGCGCTGTCCCTGCCAGAACGGGGGAGCGTGCCATCACGTCACCGGAGAGTGCTCCTGTCCCGCAGGATGGGTGGTACGACATCTGCACAGAAACCAGCTAATGTGCATGTTTATCTGATTTTAACTAATGGGGATTTTATTAATCCAAAATATGACGTTAGCATGTTTGTATTTTGGGCATCCATTTTCTACGTCAAAAAGTGGAATGTACACCCATGGCAAGAAAAGCCTCATTAATGGCATTTAACTAGGCTGGTCCTTCAATTATCTCAAAGAAAATATCAATAACAAGCAGTTAAATATAAAGATAACAGATTATGACACAAAAAAAACAGCCAACTATCTAAAAGATGATTTTGAATTTCCAGCAAGTAAATGATGTGTCATCCTGAAAACTTGGTCAGAGGTTGTCTTTAGATATATTCGATAGTCTTAAAAAATAAATCAGAATGTCTTTTTATGTCCGGTTAAGACTATTTAGTTAAATTTATTGTACGGCTAGTAATGTTAGAACAAATTTAAACACTGAAAAAATGAGAATTGTTATATTTTGATCAAAAAAACAAAAAAAACATGACTTTGGTATATTCACTGTAACTCAAAATTTGTTGAGCAAGCAATTTTAACATGAGGCTTTTTTCACACAGTTATTCCTCTTAGGTTTTGTATTCTCATCACCTTTTCCTCCCCAGGGTCCGGTGTGTGCACAGCCGTGTTCGTTCGGATCGTTTGGCATCAACTGCTCTCAGGAGTGCACGTGTCGTAACGCAGGCCTGTGTGACCACATCAGCGGTCAGTGTCAGTGCACTGCAGGCTACATCGGAGAGAGGTACAGTGGAAAAGTGGACTAATACAATCATATGAAAACTTTATTGGACCCCTCCTGGGAAATTAGCTTGTTGCAGCTAAAAATATTGATAGAATTCACCGGGGGGAAAGATGAATGTGGGCTCACAGCAGCATATATAATAAACAGTAAGTACAGAGGGGGAAACTAATAAAAACAATAAGGCGCTACAGTTGGTGTTAATGTAAATGTCTTAGTATTAAATATTTATGTAGAGTATAAAATGCAAAGTTTGACAGCACTTGAGATGTTTATACCAAGCCTGAGCGCTTCTTTAAATACTGCATGGTTTACTAAATTAGTAATAGCTGGTATTTACATAAAATGCAGCATACTAACATGTTGTTTACACAGTGTGGAATCATTTTGGTGTCAGAATTTTGCATTAAAGTTATATAAAGTTACCCACTATAGCTTGTTGGGCATAGTAGCTAACGGAATGATGTCATAGCAGAATGTGTGTATGGATGTTTACTAAACAATGTGCTCACATTACCATACAATTTGACCATGCATCCAAACGGTTGACCGATTTTTACGTCAATTTTTTTTTAAACAAACTGCAGCACAATCCATCAAATCAGATAACATCTTCAGGATCACATTTGCCTTAGCAAGCGGTAATCTATGGATGAAGTCATGAAAATCAGTTAGCCTGTTGGTAGTTACTAAAGATAACAGTGTGCTTGTGCGAATGAATGCTACCCATCGGGATATTCCGTTATATTCAGAGATAGGTAAGTTAAATACGCAGTAAAAAACAATTCAAAAATATTTGCTTTAAACATGCCTCTTATAACTTAAATACACAGTTTTTAATCTAACTATTACAATGATTTGAAGAGACCAACTTGTGTGTTGGTTCTGTTAGCACAGCAAAACAAATCAATATCTTGCACCATTTGTAAATATAATTCAGAGTAGCAAAAAGGTAACGCCAGAAAAGCCCCATATCCTTGCATTCCCAATGTGTACTGTATGAATATAATTATCTGACAAGGTGCATTTTTTAGATGATTACCATTTCACACGATTACCCTCTTTTCACAGAAGGAAAGTCCTAAGGACATAGTTTAAACAAGTCTGTCGATACAGTCAGCGTTATTAGAAGCGACGACAATCGAAGACCATATCTTCTCCTAGTCGAGTAGATCCTATCTAATGTAGTTCTTCAGCTCCTAAGTCAATACATGTTTAATGGATTGAGCTTAATTCTCCTACTTCTTAAGCTAAATAAACTATTTAAAAAGCCTCTTGGACCAGCTGGAAAGTGCATCGGCACCCAGCTAAAAACAGGGATGTTTTAGTAAGCTCATTAAAGTTAAATTTTTCGTAATTGACAGCTTCAAAGCTACAGCAGTAAATGCTACATACACATGAATGCAGCAGTATTATTAATTAAAAAAACATCATATATAGTAAAATAGTAAAACACCGGGATAGAAAACATTTCTTACTATAAGTACATTTTTCAGAACATTTTGTAATATAAACAGTTTTGTATTACTGTAGTATAATATCCAAATTTAAGCATCTAAATATGTTACAGTGGAGGCACAAAATATACAAATATTAAAATGAGCGTAATAGGGACACTTTACGTTAAGGATCTGTATTCTGTATGGGGGCGGCTGTGGCTCAGTGGATAGAGTGCTCGACTTCGAATCAGGGGGTAGCAAGTTCGAGTCCCACTGCGTTCAGCATGTCATTGTGTCCCCGGGCAAGACAATTCACCCCAAATTGCTCCTGTGGGGATTGCCCACAGTACTGAATGTATGTAAGTCGCTTTGGATAAAAGTGTCTAACAAGTGACATCCCAGCTAGACATTTTTGGTTCTAAAAACATTCTGAGAATGTTACAGTCATTGTTCTAGGAAGGTTTTCAGCGGGAAGTTTTTGTTTGGTTCCCAGAACGTTCTTCTGAAACGTAGGATAACGTTCTCTAAAAACATTCTTAAAATGTTTGGTGATAACATTGTTAGAACATTATGCCCTCCTATTCTTAAAACGTTTTCAGCGGGAAGTTTTTGTTTGGTTCCCAGAATGTTCTTCTGAAAGGTAGGATCACGCTCTCTAAAAACATTCTTAAAATGTTTGGTGATAACCTTCTTAAAATGTTTTTGAAAACATTGTTAGAACATTATGCCCTACTATTCTTAAAACATTTTCAGCTGCAAGTTAGATTTTTTATGTTGCCAGAATGTTATTATTTTAGAGAAGGATAACATGGTTTATGTTAAAGAAATTATGCAAATGTTCTATGGTAACCATTTACTAAAATATGTTTA